AAAACAATTAGAGACGATCTCGCGCGCGCGCATTAAATTGGCTTCAATGAGTTTATAGCACTTGAAAGCTGAAATCGTTATAATTGAACGTAATTTATTGCTTTATTCGCGCGTTAATATCGTCATGCAATTAAATTATTGTTTCTGTAATGATATCGATTATGTAAATGGCTATGTGTGAACCGTGTAATTACTTTAATATACAACACAATTATCGTTTGTGTAATTCGACAATTATTCTCATTTCTATTTCACTCTATAAACGTAACTAAAATATTCCAGTATTTAATTTTATTATTTTCTTCTGTTGATTATATGAAAACACTAATTGATATATTTGAGTTTCAGTTTAAAATTATATCAACAAATCGTTCATTCGAAAATTTAACCACAATAAATATATAAATTGTTTTGCTATTTGTACGCACGAGATATTTTTACCTAAAACTTTAGAGCTTGGAAAGAGAACCGTAAAAGAACTCTTCTTAATCACTATGTCAAACTGCAATCAAGCTATTTATTTATCAAACCAAACTTTCTACATTTTCAGCATTATTCCTTTTCAAATTTAGAAATTGATAAATTTGTTTTCATCGTAGAATGAAAATTTTATTTTTAATTTTCGAGGAGATTCGTGGATTCACACAATTCTTAGATAATAAATTTCCCAACTTGACCTGGAATTGTCGAGTTGAAAAATTAAAATGGCCAGCGAGGAAATGTAATCGACTGTTCATTAACTGAATATATGCTTCCTATGTAAGTTAAATAGGAGCACGCAGCCAGACGCAAAAGCTTCTCCGGTTGGAAAATATACGCGTAGACGTACAACAATGCATTTTATTCTTAGACAAACAATTTCTATTCTATGTCTGCATGCGCTAGCGCTATCACCTCGTGTATTTTCAATCCGATATAATTAAACGGAACAATTGCATTGATAAATACTTAGACCTAAATACTGAGAATTAAATGTTGCAGTTATTTCTACTATTAAATATTCGAGTAATTAATTTCTCGTTAGCGGCAAGAATTGGGAGGCAAATAGGAATTTCAAAAATTTGATCCCTTTGACTGACTTTGATTGAATTCTTTTAATTATTTTTATATTTTTATTGAGGACTCGACTTTTGTACGCTGCATTTTTTCACCGCACGTAATAAATAGTTTAAAAAGAATGTTCTTCAGCGAAAGTGCTTGGAAAGATCCTCCTCTGAATCGTCTCGAAATTCGACGACCTGAACTGACCTAGATAACGAAGGTAAATATATGTATTTACGTACGTGGTACATATACGTAGAGAGATGTTTATAGAGTGCCTATTTATTTTGTTACAATCAGAATGCTTCACTTCTGCAAGTCTACAAAATCTATCAAGTGCTATTAAATGTTAAATATCTCCACTATCACTATTAAATCTCTCAAGTTACCAAGTTTTCGCGAAACACGAATCTCTAGATTCAAAGGACACATCAAACGCAAGCGATTGCGAAATTTAACTGACGTACACTTCTTCCGTGTACATATATGTGCATACAAGAGCTATTAGAAGCTTATTCATACTTATGTATGCGTTTATTCGCGTACGCGAGCGGTAATTTGTAATCGCAGTATGTATACTTGCATCTGTCAAGCTTTATTTACCTCGCACACCACTATTAGTCGTTATTAACTCGTGAGGACACTTCATTTGAGTATTCCAAAATGTACTAGTACATATACTACCGAATCCGCAGATCTAACACAGTGATTAAAGTCACCTTTCGACTCGCGGTCATGTTACCTTTGACATTTCTAGAGAAATCCTGCGTCGGCAGAGAGAAGGAATATTCGTACGCGACATTGTGAGTCTTCAATAAAATTCGAAATCCTGAGAAATAACTTAGAATATATATTGAGTATCAATGTATTCTTGATATTACATAAATTATAAGATATAGACATATTGCACGTATCTTTTACCTCTTGAGTATAAAAAAAAATGACTTCTCTTGCGTTTCTTACGATTCAAAAAATACGACTCGTCTCTTATGTCATTGTATTATTATTGTGTTTTATTAGTACGCATTTTAAAATAAAAATAAGGCTAGACAAAAATGATACTGACACCTGTGAATTATATAATAAATAATTGCAAACATCTAGAGAAAATTCAACTTTTGACAAAAAAATTACACACAATATGTTTGATTAAATTAGATATTGAAAAGCAACATTTCTTTCTAATAATAAAAATGATATAATATACACATCAAAAACCGAAATTACTTTTCAAAATACAATATTTTTTCAATTTTTTACAAACGCGCAATGTTATGTATATAAATTACCATTCTTTAAATTTTTTACATTTATTGTACATTATAATTAACATAATTCTGCGTTGTTCTGTTCTGTGTTTTATATTAAGTGTTTTTTATTGTGGAATTTCTTATAGAATTTTTGTATACATTTTTGTATTTTTTCTAAAAGTTATGCATGATATGTCGTAATTGCATATATATTTAGTACATAATAATTGCAGCTTTGCAATTTGGAAGTAAAGAAATAAATTCAGCCTTATTTGCATTAATAACTTTCATACCTGAGAGAAAGGATGGGAAGTAAAAAAAGTCAATTAAGAATAGTGTTCATTTTTATTCTTTAGGTCAGGAACGCGCATAAACATCGATACAACTGTATAAACACATTGAACTTAATGTCGCTGTACTTAATAAAATTAAATCGCAAAGTTCGAAATGGATAAAAGCGAAATAGCAGTTTTATGAGAGTTATAAAATCGATATGAAAAAAAATCAATTAGAATTATTTGTTTGCGTTATTTATTGCGTTAAAAATTAATGCATAAAAACATATACAAGTCTAACGCAGTTTATCAAATACTGTTTCAAACAATAAAATTATGACTAATTAAATTTCAATGATAATTTTATATCATAATTAATTTTCGTGTAAACAAATATTTAAGATTATTGAAACAATTTCTGCGTAAAGTTTAATCTTGTGCTTAAAAGCAAACAAAAAGTCCGTAAACGTAATGATTAAGACAACGACATGATTTTTGATTAATTTTCACGATCTTACGACATTATGGCACTAACTGTAACTCGCTGAACGCAGGCTTTGCTTAATATCATCAAAAATAATAAGCGCACTTTCGTCCAAATGAGTCACATCTTGTCACGTTTTTACCTCTAAATTATCAGTATTGATTTGAATGTATTATCTACTAGGATTGTGTGAAATCTTATTTGATTCCGGAATCAATACGGGAAATCGGTTCAAGTAATCGTGATAACCGAAACGATTAATTCTGAGATTGACTCGTAAAATCCATAGACATGGTATGAATAGACGGAGCGTGCCGTCGCTAAGTTGACGCCAGCAATTAATAAAAGTGAGAAAAAAGAGGAAGTGCACTGCACGGGCATTCTCTTCGTCTCTTCGCATATGTACAAGTTGTTTTTTAACTGGTCTGATTATAGCATAGATATAATATATCAATCAATATTAATATATTTATGGTATGAGTATATTTCAATATTAAATTGAATATATTTTATTGGTATATTTCAATATTAAATTGAAATATACCAATAAATCAATTTAATATTGAAATTGATATATTGAAATTATAATATATGATAATATTGAAATTTGACAACATTTAGTTTGGCGCAAGTGTGTTTAAAGTTATTTAATATTTAATATTATTAATTGAAAAGAACGCAATGTACGACGACACGCTTTTCTATTAAGAGAACAATGCTCCGTCTATTCATACTATGTCTTGGCAAAATCAGATCAAATAATGGATTGAATATGTGCACTGAATGTATACCGACTTTAGTAATAATTTTTTTTTTAATAAGGCCGGCTCTGAAATCATATGGGACGAATATTTGACCTGACTTTATACGGAATCAATTGTTCCAACGTACTGATTACTCGAATCGATTTAACATGTCAATTTTGGGAACAAATATTATTTCAGCTTTATCGTCTATTACAATCGACATATTCAATGTTATATGCGGTGACGTGTTCCTTTTTTTTTTTTTACATATTGGGGTATCATGATGTTCGTACGCGATATTATTTACAATTGTGCTATCTAGATTGACAACGGCAATCCAGAGAGAATAAGTATTAACGTCTCATATTTATTACTGAATTTAGGGCGAGCAAAAATATCGATCGAAGTCGCTTACAGACGGAGTACATAATTAACACACGCACATTAAAGGGCTCTAACATTATGGTATGTTTGAGACATTAATTTATCACATATCTTGCCACGGATAATACATATTTCGACATCGAGCGTTATTCTCTCGCGCCCTTTCACTGTCTACGTATCACTGTCTACAAATTTCGGTACTTATTCGATACTATGCTGGCCGCTTGGATCAAGAATTCGTGGTCATCGTATATATTACACGATATACGTCGTATTGCAGCACCAATCATTACAAGCAGCACCAATGATTAATAAACTTAACATTGTGATTAAGAACATTATTAAAGTTCTTCATATTATCAATCAGACTTCGCTGTTCTGTTCCGTTTTTGATTGAATTCGGAGTGCAAATTTATTATAGAGATTAGATTGATTAGGTACGTTCTTTCGTGTACAAGTAGAATAAATAATGGATTGTCGGTGTAATACTATAATGTTAGATATATAAATACTTTTTTCATGTTACAGATTTAAGCCAATTTGATTTTTTTT